CCTGTAGCTGGACTACTGCCATAAACATGAAGTAATCTTCACTAGGGTTTGTGGCTATATGCTTGCACCCTTCCTTATAACTAGGTCTTTAGAAGTTCCTGTTTGCTTTTGGAAGTTAAAGTAGTTTCTGACCTAGTCAAGTCTGGTACCAAACTTGGAAGATTGGCAAAAGTGAGGATCTGTTCTGAAAATGATATTTCTTTCTAAGTTCCAGGACAGGTTTCAAGGTTACCTCTTGTATATGTGCTATTTATTGTGGCAAGCACTTTCAGCGACTCTTCTGCCAAAGGGGTGTTGCTTTAAATAGTTCTAATAGTTTTGCCAGCTTTGGTTTAAGCATTAGGTTTTCTTGCCTCTATGTTTGTTATTCCTATTTTCCTGTAAATTTGCTTCTGCCAGAAGTCTTTACAGATCACTTTGGCACAGCAGCCAGGCAGATTGAATTCAAAGATTTCACTTAATGTGGTGAAACTTCTAGGTTGCAATGAAGATTGGAAAATTTCCCATGAAGGGTTGGCCAGTGTTATCTTGATTGGGATTATGCAATGGATTCCTTGCTTAATTTCAACTTCTCCTTGGAATAATTTTCACTTAACACTGGGGGAAGGGAATGTGGCTGGTGTTTTGATTGAAACCACTTTTTTCAGCACAGTGAAAGAATTGTTACATCTGATGATTCAGATTATCTGTGGATGGGAAGGAAAACAGCAGCTGTAAAAAGTAAATTCGTGGATTGGTAAAACAAATTGAGCTGGTACTTCGGTGCACTCTAGTGAGTTAGCAGATTTGTGTCATTTATCTAACCTCATTCATACCAGAACTAGTGGTTTAGAAATTAATTACAGGATGATGAAAGAAGTTAGCTTGGAAAACCCTTCAAGCTGCTGTAGCTAGCAGTACTTCCAAGATAACTACAGAAGCAAATAGTATGTGTGATTGACTTAGCTTATAGTTAAACTACTGTGTAAGTTTAACATCTCTTACTGCAGGAGCTTGTTTTGTGAGGCTCATTTTAGGTCTTCGGAGATGGAGGAGTGTCTATTCAAGAAAGGTGAATCACTGAATATTCTGAGTTGGAAGGGACCCAGAGGATCATTGAGTCCAGCTCTAAAGTGAATGGCCCATATGAAGGCCATACCCATGATCATGGCATGATTAGCACCATGCTCCACCCAAGAGGGCATGAAATGTGGGCAGCCAGAATGTAAGGCTGATTTTTGCTGTATGGGGGTATGTCTGTCAGAGGTCACAGATCCGGGGCTGAGTGGCTGTCTTCAGCTAAAGATGCCTTCTGGCCTACCTGATGCTACAAGCCACTGACTTCTCCTCCTGAGATGTCTTTCCTTATGGGCCATGGATGGCTGTATGCTTACAATGAACCATGAGTGTAGTGGTTGCAAAAAATTTTGTCCTTTCTATCTCCTGCTATAACTTCAGTGAGTTTGTGAGCCTTTCCAGAGAAATGCAGGGCAGGAAAGAGGAGATTTAGAACTGATTGTCCTATAATAATTGTCCAGTTCTTCTCTGGGTATCAGCATCTTTTAGGGAGTGGCTGTTATCCTCCTGGAGTCTTCTGCACTCAATTTTTGCAAGTCTTTCTGAGTTGTTTTTTTTTCTTGGCAAGCATCTGATACTGTCATTCTGTGTTGGACACTTCATTGCCTCAAACACCAACATTTCTTGTTGTAGTGTCCAAAGCTCTGGTGGGAGGGAATGGATGGTGTGATGCACTGCTTCTAGAAAAACCCAACCAAAACAGAGCAAAAAAACCCCTCAAGAGCAACAACAACAAGCACCGCCCAAAGGCACATGGTGTACACAAAAAATGCTTAAGTTCTAATTAAGTAACCTATACAACATTCCTAATGTTTTTTATTACAGCATGAGGAGACTGCTCTTGTTTTTAGTGAAATCAGCAGAGTTTCTGATTACTTTAACTCTGATTGCATTGACTTCACAGTTGACTTCAAGCATCATGTAAAAAGTATTGATATGTGCTCTATTAACCTGCAAAATAATAGCCTGGTAAATCCCAGAATGTTTGTTAGTATTATAATTCATACAGCTGGGCACAGCAGGGATTTTTCCTTAGTTTTTAGGAAGTGAGAATATGCAGGCATGCTATCACAAGGTTTGTTGAAGATCCTGAGTGTACAGTCCAGAGAAGACCACAAACTCTGCTTCAGGATGTTTTTGTTTTCTGCCTGTCAACAAATTTAGTTTGCTATCAAGATTTATAATAGTGAACTAATGGTGTTACTTCATGTTCTGTATGGAAACTATGCACACAGAGAACAGTAAAATCTGAAAGTTTATTTTAAGGCAGTAATGCAAGTAAATGCTCTGCTGAGGGTTTGTATTTGTGGTCCCAACTTGTTAAAATGGAAATGAAAAAACAAACAGGAAGAGCAGGTGGGATAGGTTTATTATGGAATGTAGCACTATGTCTTAAATTTAACTCAAGCACAGAGACTGTAACATCTTTAACCCTTAAATGCATTTATGTCAGAATTGTTCATGTTTTTAGAAACAAATCCCTTCATCATGTCCAAGGTCTAAAAGTAGAATAAAAATAAATTGAAACCTCATTTCCTTAGCTTTTTCAGTTTGAGCTTTGTAGTTGACTTTTTACCATCTGGTTTTTTTTTTTTTTTTCATATTTGTTCTCTGACACTTGGTGGTCTTATGAGTTTTTAAGCCCTTGTAAAGCTCTAAACTGATAATGTTACTCTCATTCAACTGACCGCTTAAGCATGTGCACATGTCCTCTATTGGCTCACTAAGTGTCTGTATTTATTAGAATAACCCACTGAATCAAGGCTACTAAGAAGATGGACTTTTCAGTTTTTGCCCCTTCTGACTTTCAAGTAAAGCTGTATATTTTTAATATTTGATGGAAATCAATATGCCACCACCGTAAGGTTTGATTGGCAGGCACCTCTCTGGGTGTCCCCAGGGCAGCTGGATGCTCTGTGCCTGGGAAGGAAAACCAAGTTTATTATGGCTAAGTGAAAGGCTTGCTTTATTTGTTTTTAGTACTCTATTTCTGTCAGATGCCCTGACAAACTTACCATTTAGGCTTTATGGATATTCAGTAAAAAAGGCAGGGGTATTCCACAGATGTGAGATACTTTCTTAGGATTACTATTGATTTCTGCTCCATCATGCTTGTTCTAGTAAAGGATTGACTTAGTCTTGCTTGATGTGACTCACAGAAACTTATCCCTTAATGTCAAGCACAGCATAAAAGCTGGGGATCAAAGTAGGGATTTTTACTCTAGTTACCATTAATGAGTTGCCCACAGAAGGATATAGTTCCCCATGGTTTCCAAATGTTTGTTCCCCTGCTTGCTTAGAAGGTCTTCATTATATACCCATTGAGAATGGGGTCTGGTTTATTTGGCTTAATTGCACTGGCCTATAAGAGTAATAGTTGGTTTTCGTTTTTAAAACACAGCAATTCTAAGTAGTTGGAAGAAACAGAAATAATAATTCACGCTTTTTTACTGTACAAAGCTGTTAGGTTGTAAGTTAGCCTTGCGTATGGAGGAGTATATTGAGAGTTGTACAAAGTGCTGATAAAATGAAGTGTCTCATTTGTAATCCTTGATTTAATAGTGTGTTGGGCTATTATTAACAGTGTTACTGATTCTGTGTCATCTTACATGTAAGATGAGTAAGTTCCATGACCAGGATGTTAATTGGATGAAGCTTATCTGTATCCATTATAATAAGCAATGGAGGGACTGGTATCCTCAACTGATGAGAAATACCACCTTTTATAAGTTTTCCTGTGGCTTTGTCTTTTGAGCAATAGATGATGGATATTCAGTAACCCTCCTGAACTTGCCCTCAGATTCTCCTCTGTCTCTGTAGGGGGGAGTGCTTGGGCTCTGGCCTTCACCCTCCTTTGGGTCAGGTGAAAAGTGAGGGTGTTCCCTGTAAAGTGCCCCAAGTGCTAGACAGGGAATAAGGGCAGGGAGTTCTCCTTTGGTTTCAAATAGTCAGAGAAGCATTTAATCCTGTGTGTGCATTCAGGAGAAGGACAGGGGTTAATTCTGCACTTGAGAGCAAGAAAAATGTTTAAGCAAGAGTGAGAGGAAGCAGTAAAGAAAAAGAAATGACACTCCAAGATCCCAGGGGCAGAAGCTCTTGGGATAAATTCGATTATTGATAGCATTAACCAAACTGTATCCATTATACCATCCTTGGAGTTTCTGTGAATGTTGTCCCTGCACAGTAGTGTTGAACTAGATAAAACAGCTTTCTTCCCAGAAGACTTACCCTTGTTTTCCCAGCACTGGTCTCTAATGTTTTAAGCACAGTCATCTACTTTGTGTTAGATTTTCAGGTGCAGTGTAGATAAAGCATGCCATGAAGTCATAAATCTAATCCCTCACATTTTAACGGAGAAACAGAGAATTATGCAGTCATTCTTTTAAAGAAGAAGGTGCAAAAGGCAATCTGTGTCTGAAGTGGCTGAGTTGTGTTCTCTGTCCCACTCATTACTTAATCTGTAAATTTGCCTCCAGTTTGGGGCTAGTTTTCTAGTGGATCAGAGTGAGTTTGTTTTGATTACCATACTAATGACTGAGATGAGGGAAAATGAGTTGTAAAGGAAATTTTCCTCTTTCCTCCCACACCTCCCCTTTCTGTGAAAGTGGCCTGATTCTTTTCCTACCTGTTTGGAAAGTTGATGTATTTGGGCTACAGTTGGGAAGACTGTATCACAACTGCTTTGGGCACATCCATTATTCAGGAGTGTGTAGTAAAGATGCTGGAGTCTGCTCTGAAACAAGACAAGTTCCTAGGCAAGCAGAGGCAGCTTGTGCCTATTTGTGACACCAGTCAGGATGTCTGCACAAGGTACTGATAACACACTAGCTCAAGTCAGTGCCAATTTGAGTGCATGTGTGCTGTCATCTGGAGATACCTTGCTCTAGTTTGAATGTACTTTTCTTATGTTAGGAAGAAACATTTTCTTTCTGTTTTTCCTTCAGGCAACAAGAGCTTCTCTGACTCAACATTGTACCAGTCTGGGGGAGTCACTGGGCAAGGAAAATGATATTGCCCTGATTATTGATGGCCACACACTGAAGTATGCCCTTTCATTTGAAGTCAGGCAGAGCTTTCTGGACTTGGCGCTCTCCTGTAAAGCGGTCATTTGTTGCAGGTAAGGAATTCTGTGTTTGTTTTTGGTAACAAAATGGGCATGAGGCCTGTGAAATTCAACCTCATGCACACAGCCACACTTAAGTATGCTGGAGAGCAGCTTGGTTAGTAGTGTCTGTCTTCCTTCTATGGAGTAGGAGGCGTGTTCCTTCATTAAAATTGTGTCATCAAATAGTACAATTCCCTCTGCCAGTGTCAGTCCCAGCTGATTCTGATCTCTTCTATAAAGTGATGAAAGATCATGAGAAAACATTGTGCCTGATTATAGTAGGCACTGATGAGAAGCAGTGGTATGGATGTCATTTGTAATCAAAATGTTTGTGTGACTGTTCAGCTCAGCTCTAGAGAAAGTCACTGCAGGAATTTAAGTTGGTCTTGACTTCTGTTTGTGTATTATGTGAGCCTGTGATAATGTGATTTGCCCTACTAAAATGTTAGACTACTGCTGGCTTTGCTAAGTCACAGCAGAGTTTGTTGCTGTTTGTGGGTATAGCCATACACAGATTTGGTCCTATGTCATGACTGCTTCAGAAGGAAGGAAATAAGAGCCCAAAGAAAATGTAAACCAAAAGCTGGCTTACTTTACTTTTTGTGTAGCAGGAAGACTGCATCATTTTTAACTTTGAAAGATTTTGTGGCTTTGAGGATTGTGTGCGTTTGTGCTCATTGCTGGTATTTGGGGGGGAACTGTGACCTAGTGGAGATTGTTGATTTAGGCAGGCAGGAAGTTGTATTTGCATTCTAGAAGCAAGGCCTGCTTTGTGGGAAATGACTGTATGGAGACCTTGTACTACTTTTTTTTGCAGTCTTACTTACTTTTATGTGTGCGCTTTGGTACAAGTATCACATGGCAAAAGGAGTGCTGTCCATGTAGCCAAAATAGCTGAACTCTTGGGCTTTTTTTCTCACTAGTTTCTTTCCATTTGTTTTCTGGATTGCTGTAGTGCATGATACTGGGGCTAGAGCTGTTCAATGCATTTATTAATTACCTGATGATTAGATGGAGTATGAGCTCAGCAAATTTACAAATGATACAAGACTGAGGAGTGAGTGATAACACTGAGTGCTTGGCTGCCCTTCTGAGGGACTTCTATAGGCTGAAGAATTGAGCAGCGAAATCTCATGAAGCTCAAGAAGAGGAAATGCAAATTCTATGCCTAAGGAGTTACAACCCCTTACACCAGTAAGCTGTGGGGGCTACTGAGCTAGAAAGCACCTTTGTCCAGAAGGATTGTTGGATCCTTGGTGGACAAGCTGACTGTGAGCTAGCAGTGAATCCTAGTGGCAAAGCAAAGACTGGTGTTACCCTGGGCTGCAGTGTAAGGAGCATTGGTAAATGTTGAGGGAGGTCATCCTTCTCCACAATGGTGAGGTAACTTCTGCAATGTTGTGTCCAGTTCTGAGATCCTTAATGTAACAGGTTTAATGGAGAGCGACCATTAAAGGACTCTCCGTCCATTGAGGACCTTGAAGATGGTAAAGGGGTCGGAGCATCTGTCATACAGTGAGAATCTGAGAGCTGCAAGTGTTCAGCCTAGAGAAGAGGTGGCTCAGAGGGGTTTGTATCAATTTGTATAAGCATGCAATAGAAGGGAATGAAAGATGAGGGAGACAGGCTCTTCCCTGTCGTGTTCAGTGACAGCAGTTTTTCTTCTGTTGCTGATTACTTTTTTAAAAAGTTGGGCAGGGGGCTAGAGGAAGAAGGCACAAAGCCTGAGAGCAGAGGTCTCATTTCTGCAGCTGTTTCATGGAGTGGGAAGTGTTTTACAAGAGGGAGCTAACACAAGTGTAGCCATCTTTGGAATGCAGCAGGCCCCAGTGTAGGGCCAGAGTGAAGGTACCTTGGGCTTGGAGAGCACCAAGTGTCCAGGAAGGGAACTTGGAACTGACCCTGTCTTGTGCTCTGTTTGAGGGGCAGTTAACAAACAGAGCAGATGGAAACCTCCTGCTTTCCTACTCTATCACAGTGCTTTGGAGAGATCTTCCAAGGCACTCTGCTAGTTTATTGCTTGAAGACTTGACAAGTTAAGCCAAAGACCTATGTAGCTGAAACAAATAATAAATTGCAAATTATTAAAATTACACATAAAATATATATAATAAGCTGAATATAATGAATGGCTCTGTTTTGCCAGGAGACATGCAATACTGGACATTTCCTCTTTCATTATTTCATGAGGGGAGCCAACAGGAGTTTTATTTATTAGTGAATTAGCAAATTGAGGAACAATGCAGGAAAAAGTACTTTAAAGTATAAATCAAAGGGGAAGAGATGATGTAATTTCATAGCTTAAAAGGAGGAATGAAAATAATTGAGTTTTAAGTCCCCAGGGAAAATGAGGAATGCTTTTAATAACCTTTAAGGTTTTTCAAGAACCTTCCAGTCACTTGCCAGGTGCTTGATACTGAAGCAAGAAAAACAATTTTTTTTTAATGCTCTGAGTTGTTTTTGATGGTACTTTGTGTTTCAAATAAGGCAGTGCACTTATACTTCACAGGAAGAAGTTTTAAAATGGAATTGAGAAAGAGGACATTTCAAATTAGAGTAGTCTTCAAATGAAAATGTTAATTGGGAGGGGGATGTAGCTCTTAACTTAGTGGTATGATATTTAACCACAGTAGGAGTTGCCTTGCTATCCTCAACATTGCATAAATTCATGGGGCTTAATATTTCATAAATTTACTAAAACATTTTCATCTCCTCTGGAGAGTTTCAGCTGCATTTGCCATTCAAAATTTTTTTTTTTTTTAAATATAGTTAAGACATACTGTATATTCATTTTCTGGGCTTTAGGCATAAACTGTAGTTGAACTTGATTCTCAGGGGTAATCTCTTAAAATGAAACTGTAGTAAACCTGACTCCTTTTTGCATTAAGAGGGAGAGATGGTATCTTCTGATGGGGTTAAGTCTTCCACTGTTACAGTGTCTCTAGCAGGCCATTGGCACAGAGGAGAAAAATATACCCCTCAGGAGACTTGGTAAAGCTAGCAAAATCAAATCAAACAACTCCTTAAGAAAAAGCCTTGTTTGTTAAGTTTTTCCAGAAACTGACAGATCTTATTATCGTTCTTCACACTGACTGGGATGTCAGGATGTCAAAAGCAAGCAAAACTTACTTTTCAGTGGAGGTAAATGTTGTTTGGAAGGCAGTTGAACTTGTGACTTCATTTATGAGATCCGAGCTGATGATTGCCTGTCTCTGGTTTTCAAATGCTCCTTTAACAGACCTGGTTTTTTTTGTGTTTTTTGAGACACAAAATGTTGAGGTTTGGGTATAAGTGAGATTATTCTTTTAATAACCAAATACAGTGTTTTCCTTCATCTAGTGTTTATACTCTAGCTGGTAGGTACAGCATATTGTTGCATTTGGCTCTGAATATAAAAGTAGCTGAGAATTATATAACTTGGATGTTATGGCATTTAATATTTTTAAAATTCAGTATAATTTTAAATTCATATTTAATTCTCTACTGAAGAGCCTGCCTTGAATTGGAAGTATTTGTAGTTGAATTAATGCAATGTTTCAGAAACACATGTTTATGACTGTGCTTTGGGAACTTTTCGTTATTGTTGTTGAATAGAACTTCTTTGCAGGTGGCAGGGACTCTGCCTTTGTATGGGTTTAATGCCATATTAACAAGACATCCATCAGGAAGAAGCAATCCATCATAATTTAAGAGATTAAAGAATTCTAAGCAGTTTGTAAGTATTTCAGTACTTAAAATTAATTGCTGGACAGCAGAAGTAGTCTTTTGTGTAATTTCTTTCACAGATGTAAGCACAACAAAACAAGCATCTCCAGAGAGATGTGTAGCATAAGGCTGGGAACCCATCCCAAACTGGGCTGCCTCAGTGTGATTCTTTTCTCTTTTGCTTGTATTACTGACCATTTCTGCCATACTACTTGAGGTGGTGATGCTGGGATGTTGTTTCTTTTCCATATGTGTACTTAGATCCTGCAACTCTTCAGCTGAGTGAACAGTGAGTTGATGCCCACATAGGAGGGGTTTCAGGTAATAGGAAAAATAAATAGAATGTTTCAATTGCTGTACAGTCCATCAACTTTTCTGCCATACTTTTGATCCTATGTCCTGTTCTGGAGAGATGTCTATAAAGTGGTGCAGCATAAACAGAAATTGAGAAAATCCAGCAACAGCAATTTCTATGGACTATCTGCTATTTCCACAAAGGCACTTGCCATGTCATGACTACTACATCAGGATGTTTTTGCTTGCTTTTAGGTGTGAAAGGTGTGTGCAGTTGTTGCTCAGCATCTGAACACCGACTTCTGGAGGGCTTCTGCCCAACCTCACCAGCTAACTTTAGATGATAGTGGCACAAACTGTTGCTTTCAGTACCTTGAGCAGTATTGGAGCTGTAGTGATAATGGTTAGGAGCTGAGTGAATAAAGAAGCTAGAGGAGAAAATGTATATTTTTTAAACAAGCAACAGGAAACCCCTGTTCTGTGTTTCTATTGCAGGTAGCATGCAGGGAGGCTGGGGTGAAGGCAGGAGCCCACAGGTATCGCTCTGAGAACAGACACTAAATGTTCTGAGATGAACATGCCCTTTGACTAGAGTGTGTTTGGGTGTGGATAGGGAAGGGGTTTAATGAATTGAAAGCAGAAGGTTGGAGAAGGGAAGGCAAAAAGCAGCTTGTGAAGAGTACATGTTGCTAACTGTTAGAGTCACTTCATCAGCTAAGGAGAGAAGAGAAATGAGGAGACAAGAGAAAAGTTGTTTCAGCACTCCAGGTTGTAAGGCCACAGCTGGGGTGCTTCTGGTCTTCCATCATGATTTGGAGGAGACATTAATAACATAGCTGACAAAATGAACATCTGCAATACTTCTTAAATATTTATTCTCCCAACTTGCATATTGTTGCTGGTGCTAGTATTTGACAAAATGATTCTTCTGTGCCGTAGTTCAGTGTGTATTTATTTATTGAATCAAAAAAGTGTCTTGCTGGCTTTCATTAGATAAGACCCCCATTTTCATG